CCCCCCCCCTGCCGCTCTAGGCCTCGGCGCCCGTGGGCTTGCCCGTCGCGGTCCTTTCTCCCCCTGGTAGCTGGGTTCGGTGCGGGCAGCTCCCTCCGTGCTGCCACGCGTGGATGGGCTGCTGCCAGCGGGGTGCCGGTGGATGGGCTGCTGCCAGCGGGGTGCCGGGATCCCGCGGGCTGCCAGCTGTGTCCCTTCATGCTTGGTGTGCACTGGGCAGAGCGAGTCATCCTGTCCTTCACTTGCTTTCTTCAAAGCCTGAAGAGGACCAAAAGCTGGTTTATTCTGGGAAGCTGCTGCTGGACCATCACTATCTGAAAGACTTGCTGCCAAAGGTATCAAAAAAGAAAAAAATCTTTTATGGTGTGCTGAAATATATCAAGAGGAGTGATAGTTGTTTAATGTGTCTTCTATTATGTTTTAGCACGGGGACTTGCATGCTCTGCATTTGGTGTACAACCTCAAGACTCCTGCAGATGTGCAAGAAACCAACGTGGAGGTACTTATGCTAAGTTAACAGATGTCTTCGGGTTGTGACTGAAAATGGGAAGCATTAACCGGCTATTTTAAAGTTCACCGACACCATGGCTTTCTCCTGCTAGTGCAATGGCAATATTGCATTGTGCTAATTTGGCTAGGAATGTGAGAACATATGTGGATTAAGCTGGGTAAAAAATTGACTCTGCAGTTCATCAGTAAAGATTCTTGTGGCATCTGTTAAGAAATACCAGCCACTAAATCGAGCTGTACCACGATGCTCGGAGGAGAAACGCCTTCTGGTAAATTCAGTTTTATTGGGTAGTGTGGCCTGCATCCCAGGCTCCTCTGCACAGAGGCTGTGCTTGTGGGCAGGAGGCATGGTGGTTGAAGTGGAAGCAGTGATGGTCTGCATGTGGGGGTGTAGGGATGAAGGAAGGCTGCCAGGTGGAGACATTGGAACTGCTCTCCTGAATGCATCAGCCTGCCCTGAGGAAGGCGAAGAGCAGCCTTGGTGCTTGAACTGAGTACTTGCTGGTCTTACATGCAAAAGGCCCAAACTAGTTTTCACCTTCAAGTGGGTGTGGTAGGGTGTCTAGAGGTGTGTTTCTATTGCCTGTTACAGGCAATCTGAGCTTATCCTGCCCATGCCTGGTGGGTGCCAGATGTGCGCCAGCTTTGGTCTGGATGCTGTACAGATGTATTGCTACAGAACAGCTCCTGAATTCTGTGCACAGCAGTTTGTGTATGCACGTACAAATTTATGATAGCTAAAAAGCAAAACTCTTGAGTGTAGTTCCTTCTGTATGATCTAATTACGTTTTTATAACCAGATGCATGCAGACAGGTCCCATAAAAATGACTAAACACAGGTGTAGATCTGGTGAAAGTGAAGAGTACAGTCAAGTCCTTTTTAGGTGCCTGTCATTTTTAAAGGAGCTTTAAAATACTGATGGAAGTGCTTGTGGCATCATGCCCGAGAGCTGTGGCAGTGCCTAGAGGTGCCATGCAGGGCAAAGTGCGTGAGCTGCGTAGCAGTTGTAAAATGGGAGCGTATTCTGTGTGGTGTAGCCTTTTTGCATAAGGCTTGCACAATGTCCTGGATAAACCTCACAAACCACCTTGCTCTCCCTAGCTTAAAGCTGATCAGCCAAAGTTACTGTCAGAGGGGAGTCCAGAGCAGTCTGTGTCTTCCTCATGTGATGAAAGCCTGAGGGGCTCTTCTGATGGCCAGTCTTCAGCAGAAACCAGTATCAGGTAAATACAATTTTTATGTACATCACTAAGATTTTTAAAATGTTAGCTTTATGTTGGATGCCAGCTCCTCATGCCACATGTGCTGTCTTAAGCCCATAGAATATAGGCCAAAGGTGATGAGACTATACAAAAGCCTTAGTGGACATCGAAGCTAAAGGAAAATGCAGTGCTGTGTTAGTTGAAAATCTTCCCTTTATTTGAGTGGATAGAGATACCTTTAATACTCAAGAGGGAAGAATTAATTTTGAATTTGAATGCACAAAATGGCAGAATCTACTTGTGTTGTCCTGTAATAAATGACTCTTGCAGTTTGTCCAGTATTCACTAACGAATGTGTTCAAATTTTGGCCAAGGCTGGAAACAACTCGGCATCCCTTCCAACGTGTGGCTCCTGGCTTCTCGGCTTACTCAACCTACGGCATGCTGCAGATGTCCTGGTTTCAGCAGGTGTACGCAAGACAGTATTACATGCAATAGTAAGTTTTCTGTCCAAAGCTACCAGCAGAAAGTAGAAACTGTAGTACAAGGAAGTAGAGAGCTTCTGGCAGTTGTTCCTTTCTTGGTGGTGGCTGGAAGGCCCTTTGTTGTTGTAACTTAGGCTGGATGGTGGGGGAGTGCCTCTTGCTGTCGCGTGGTGCTTGGCTCAGTGTTCAGGCCAGTGGTTTTGAGTCTTGCACACAGCAGATCTGTGACTGTTTTGATTGGGAGGATGGGTGTCTGTAGGGTGAATCTAATCCTGCTGATGGGCCTTAGCTCCTCACTGTTTTTTGACTGCTTAAAGTAGCACACTGACTGGAAATCAGTGACAGCGGTGAAGCTGAGGCTTGCAGCAGCCTTCCAGACTTCTAAGTTCCTCTGAAGATGTTTTTTTGTGAAGTACTGAAACTGTTCATGAAGTGGAAGGTGCTTGGTTTGACTTGCTGAAGTCACTATGCAGCTGTTGTCATGGGTAGAACTAAAACTTGTTTTTAACTCTTCTGTAGCCTCTAAATTTGATGCTTTCTATGTGCATGTGATCTGACTCTATATTTAGAGGGACAAATTTTCGGTGCCTGTGTGAAGTGTGAAAGGATTTGACTAAGCCTTATCCTGTACGTCACGTTCTCTGGTTTCAGCTTGGCTTCTACTGCAGCATCTGCTGACCCATCCCATGCACGACGTTCTCAGGAGATCCCAGTGACACCCCCGGCTCCTCTCCCAGACCCATATCCTGCACAAAATCAACCTGGAAACCAGAATGCTGCTGCCCAGGTTAACGCAGGGGCCAACCAGAACCTGCGGATGAATGCCCAAGGGGGTCCCCTTATGGAGGAAGAGGAGGGTGGCAACCGAGATTGGCTGGACTGGCTCTACTCAGCAACACTGTTCTATGTTTTTGTCAACATCATCTATTTCTACTCGAGTCTCAGCAGGTTCCTCCTGGTTATGGGTGGCACTGTGCTGATGTATCTGTAAGTGTATGGTGGTAATATTTACTGTTGTATTCAGAGATGTTTCAATGAGCTCCGTGCTGTGGTCAGCCTCGCGGCATTGGAGTTCCGTGTGACTTGTGTACCTGGAAAGGGTGAACTGCTCCTCTGTACTGGTATAACTCAGGATTTAGCAAAAATATAAGTGTAGCCTGTACCTGGATTAAATTAAGAATGGATGATGGTGAGTGATCTTACTGGTTTTTGTACTAATGCTTCTGGTGTGGCTGGCTTTCCTTTTTGGAAAACTGCTTGAAACCCGAGTACCTCTTGGTGTAAAGCCCTAGCAGCTCGGCAGTGTTGGAGCAGGCAGACCTGTGGGGTCAGTGCGGTGACTGGCAGGTGCTGCGGGGAAGCGGGGCTGTC